TGTGGCCCTTGGATTTACCCAGATACCGCAGGTACCTCCAGTGCTGACCTAAACCCAGCACTGCTGGCTTCCCCAAGCCCTCAGGGGCTCTCTCTTCTCTACCCTGTAGCCTCACACCCCATCCCTCCTTCTGGACCCCTGAGGACCCCTGGTCGTTCCCTGCCTCCCTGCTTCCCACCTGCTTTTTGTTCACTGCCAAGGTTGAAGAGCAGAGGCCCGCCACGCCGAGCTTCCTGGGCTCCCAGTCCCTGACGTGCTATACTTCTCTCTTCTGACATCCCTGTGGCCCGTACTCCCAGCGCTGCAAAGGTGGGTTTTTAAATTTTGCTTACTGCTACGTCTCTGGCTGCTGAAGCAGCGCCAGGCATGAAGTAGGTCCCAATAACTGTGGTGGTTTTTTTTTTTAATTTAAAAAGATTTTTTTTTAATGTACAGGAGTGATTTGCATGTATGTTTGTGCACCACATGCGTGCCTGGTGCCTGGAGAAGTTAAAAACGGGCATCTGTTCTCCTGGCAGCTACCTGGTCGTCTGCAAGAGCAAGCACTCTTACACTACAGAGATACCTCTCCAGCCCCACTAACTGTTGAAGGGATTACTGACTTGCTTTTTTATGAAGAGACTGTGGGTGGTGTCTGGCTTCTGGGTGCATCTAGTAAGCACACCCGTATTTATTGAATTAATGAGTCAACTGAATTTGTTGCGTGGATCCAGCTGCAAGGTGATGTTGAGAAAGCAGCTTTGTCTAGCTGTCGTTGTCCTCATTTGTTTTGTATCTGCCCTGTCCCACTCACCGCACAAGTTACCAGTAACCGTTAAAGCTCTGCGGAGGGATGCAGCGCGCTCCTGCCGTGGGTCGGCTACACAGCCTTCCAGTGCTGCTCTTCTGCTGAGGATCTCCCAAGTTAGTTCTAAGGTAGGAAGATAAGGTGTAGCTCGAGACATGGGGACCACATCTCTAGCTGCAGGCCCTCCTGATCAGCCTGCGGCAGTACACACACACACACACACACACACACACGACATATTGTACATAAGTTTTTGGAAAGAGCTCTTTATTGACAGCAGCTGAGTGAACGTTATGTTTTCAGAGTGTGCTGGGAGACTCATTTTGGGACTCCAGAAGCATACCCTGGCCTCGGGGAATTCCCCCTCCAAGCCAAAATTGGTGATTCTCAACAGGGTGTGACAGCCGCTGTCTGAATACAGCTGACATTCAAAGTGCACCTCTGTTCTGGTGTCACCATGAAATCTTCGTGTCGGGCTCTTCCCCTTCCCTCTTGCTAACAGAGGCAGTCTGTGTCCTCTGAAGTCTAGGCCGGGTATGTGGCAGTCACCCTATCTGCTGGATTGTATCTGGGCTCTGTTGAGTCTGTAAATTCTTGGAAGGAAAACATTTGCTATTCTCTACACCATGGGGTATAGTAAATGGTAAGAAGCCATTAAATAGTTACAGAATTAACACACGTAATTAACGCCCACTGGGTTCCAGGTGACATACAGGGCAGGACTGGGAGTCTCATCTTCCTAGGGTGGACTCTCCTTCACTCCCCAGAGTGTCCTGTGTTGACAGGCTGCTGCTCTGAGAATCCGGGAAGTCCCCTATAGGAAACGGCTCAGAGATGAACGAGTCCTTGCAGAGTGACTAACATTGGTCCCTGTGACTGACCACACACACCCCTTACATTTACAGAATTCTGAAGAAACAGGCTCTGAGACACAGCTCCATGACTATCCAAAAGCTTCTCAGGGGTGGATTTCAAAGTTGGCATTGAAACTGCAATCCTTTCAACCTTGGAGCAGGCATGACAATGACCTGACCCAACGCTTTGTGGGCCAGGGAGACTTGGGAGTGTTTATCTGAAGTCTACCCTACTAAGGCTTCTTGCTTTCCATCTTTTTCCTCTAAAAATTTTTTTGAGGTTTTTATTTTATGTATCTGAATGTTAGTCTGAGTATCTGTCTATACACCACATGCCTGAAGTGCCAGCCAAGGATGGAGGATGACCTAAGTTCTCAGACTGGAGTTACAGACCGTTGTCAGGCACCATGTGGGGGCTGAGGATTTAACCAGCCAATGTTCTTAGCTGCTGAACCATCACTCAGCCCTTCCCCGTTTCTTAAAACTGCCAATCAAAGGAATGGCACGAATCTGCCCAGACCCAGGAGTTTTCAATCGAGAACACACGCCATAGCGTCTCTTTTCAGCCGGTACCTTCTGCTTCTAGGCTCGTGTTTATCTGACATCATCTTGCTTCTAGAAGAAAGAGTTCAAGGCCTGGATCAGACACTCTGTGTGCTGTTCAAGGACCTTGCTTGCAATAGCTTGAATAACAAGAAAATTATGAACTGCATAAATCTACCAGCCGCTGAGTCGTTAAGGAATAGAACAGTCATAGATGGAGTACCACGTGGTGAGGGAGTTAAAATGACTGATAGTGGTGTAGGTGAACGCACGAGGCACTTGTGTGCTTAGATACTCATAGAAATTTATGGGAAAGCATGTATCCATTCAACTAGTAAGTGTTTCACGCTGTCCCTGAAACTCTAACGGGTTACTATGAGGACTGGTTCAGAAGGAAAGCTAATGTCAACTTTGAGTTCAGGAAGCATCTGAATTCTGTTATTGTGTTGTTACACACTAGCGCTGCTTCTTATGGGGAAAGATTGGGAGGCGGTGGCATCCCAACAGGTGCTCGACTGGAAAGTCAAGTCGGAAGCAGTGACGAGGAGGCTGGAGGTGGAGCTCGGTCCGCAGAGCGCCTGTCTCGCATCCGCGAAGCCCTGGGTTCGAGTCTCTGCACTACACGAAACCGGACTCAGGAGGTACAGGTAGGATCAGTATGGTTATCCTCGGCTATTCGAAGAGTCGGGGGTGGGGCTACTTGAGAACTGAGCTGGAAAAGCTAAAAAAAAGAAAGAAAAATCACAGGGATGGGGCAATGCCTGCACACTTGCAGAGAGGATTGCAGTGGCAGCGCACGGGCACCGGCAGGTGGGCTTCCGTCCGAACTGGAAAAACCTGGGGCTGGTTCCGCGCTGCGTACGGCCAAACGGCGCCCGGGGAAACTGAGGCACAATGCGCGGATGGCACAGACGACCAGGGTGTGCCCCACCGATCCGAATCCGGAACCGCTACCCGTCCCGCCAGGAGGTCGGGCGCCCGGGGACCTGGGGCTCGGAGGCGACTATCCGCCCAGCGCTGACCTCCAGGCTTCAGCAACGCGGCCGGCCATCGCTTCTCTCCCGTCAGGCCTGCGAACCGGCCCGGTTCTCCCGAGGGCCGCGGCGACGGCGCTCGTCCCCTCGCTCGCTCGCTCGCTCGCTCGGGACTCGGCCGGGGAGCGTGCGCACTGCGCGTGCGCAGAGAGGGCGCGGCCGGCGCGGGCTGCGGCTGCGCGGAGGCGGGTCCAGCCGCCGCGCCTGCGCAGTGGTGGGGCGGGGCGGGAAGGAGGGAGGCGGCGGCACCGGCGGCGGCTGCTGAGGAGGAGGAGGAGGAGGAGGAGGAGGTGGGGGGAGCGGAGGGAGGTGTTTCTGTCAGTTCCGGCTGTTTGTTCGGGAAGTGGATCCGCCGCTGCCGGAGCAGCCGGGAGGGAGCTGCGGATCGCGAGGCCAG